ATAGTATGTTATCGTATATTATAGTATGTTACCTCCCGAAGACTTGAGACTCCGATTCCCTGGCGCCCCCGCATTGGAGATTTCGGATGTTCTTTCTGAGACGGACAAGGGCCCGCACAGAAAAAACCAACAATAAAACCCTAACAAATTGACCCGCGTAGAAGCTTTGGGTACTTATTACAGATTTCCATGATACCCCATGCCCTAAACCCTACCTATAGTCTCCATTGTAGTTCCTTTTTGGGGGTCACCTTTTAGGATCCTTAATATAAAACTGGTTAAACCAAAAAAAGGAACTACAATGGAGACTATAGGTAAACACTAAACCCCAAAACCTGAAGCTGCCAGCTGGGTTCAGGTGCGAAGCATTCGGCCTAGCGAGCTGCGAAGCTTGCGCCTTGGAGTGAGAAGAAGAGCACCTGCACCAGAAGGGCTAGTCCCTTCCCCCATTTCCTAAACACACCCCCCTAATTAGCAAACACACTTTGGGGCCAATCCTCCCGAAATCACCCCTGCCCCTTAAAACCTAATTCGCACCAGGAGGAAGAGCAGAAGCAATTTCAAAAGCAAGCGCAGGAGCGAGAGAAAGAGATGCAGCAGGAGCAGCAAGAGCCAGAGCAGGAGCATCCCTCAAAAGTGATAGTAGACATAAACGTGCCCCTAATAAATAAAAGCACTTTCCTAGTTTTGTTATTGTTGGGGAGGGAGGCCCCTCCTTCCTCCCGTTTAATACATATAAGGGGAAGGGATTAAGGAGGAGGTTAAGGCTGCGTGGTTACTATGTACATATGTATATATATATATATATACATATATATATATATATATGTATATATATATATATATAAACAATGATCTCTGGCTCTCTCTATGTATCTATATATCTATATGTATATATATATATATAAGTGTGTAAAATTCGAGCATTGTTACAATATCCATTGCTGCTGCTCATGGAAGTGTTCCTGTTATCAAACTGAACCTCCTAAAGCCCAAAATCCACTGGGTTGCAACTCAAAGAAGAACTTCGTGACTGAACTGACTCGAAGACTGCTTGGGCATAAATCTCAACTGTTTAACTTGTGGCCGTGCTCTGACTATCAATCGCTCTACCTATCTCTTTGTCCGTCTACAAACCTACATGTCTTTCTTCCCACCTGCCCATTGTTAAGGATGTACCTACACAAATATTTATACCTACATGTAAGTGTGTATGTATGTATGTATGTATGTATGTATGTATGTATATGTATGTATATGTATATGTATATGTATGTGTATTTGTATTTGTGTTTGTATTTGTTTATTTATACTTATATCTATATTTATTGATTTACACGGTCTCTACAACTATATTATATATACATATATATATATATATATGTATAATCACATACATATACATGTACATATATACATATACATGTGCATATACCTCTACATACACATATACATACACATATGCATACACATATGCGTAAACATGCAGTTAGACAGATAGATATAGATATAGATATAGGTATAGATATAGATATAGATAGACAGATACATAGATTAGATGAGATTAGATTAGATTAGACTAGATAGACAGATAGATAGGTAGATAGGTAGTTAGTTACACACATATCATGTGTGTGTGTGTATGTTGTGCATAGAGTAAGGGACGAATATATAAATGCATGAAGAAGCAAATAATAAACGATTAAGTTCATGAGCTCTCAAACAGCAAACCCGAACAAAGGAACTCTTGGGACTATCCCGAGTGGATCAGCCGCCTTCCTCGTGGAGATGCGGGTCCCGAGCCAGCACGGCCCACGCTTGCGCAGCCACACTCGGAGGTGCTGCCAGCATTTGCAACGAGGCTGACACCTTCGAACAATGCCGCCTCCGTTGCAAGGACCCGTGCGTACCTGCTGCGTCTTGCCGCAGATTACTTATTACTTCGGCCAAAACCAATAACAAGAATAACAAAGCTAGCAGTAGTAGTAATAACAAGGATGACCTGATTGAGATCTGCTTGTCCCGTAGGACGGTGGCCCTCCCTGATCGCAAGCAGCTGCTGCCGGTGCCAGATCGCGAAGAACGATGCCTCAACCTTTGCCGAAGTCGCTTGGGCGATGAGTTAAGGGCTCATTTGGGCTTGAGGCTTTAGGGTGTATATAAGGTCTAGGGTCTGCTTAGACCTCGTCTAGATTCTTACAGTTCGCTACAAGCACTCTTGAATACAAACGATTCACATCTCTGCCACTAGTTAACTCAGAGTGCAAGGCTTATTCGACAAGGAGGTTGCCAAGAAATTATTGAGTTCAGCTGCAGATGCTCAGCCACGACATCTACTTGGCTGCTATGCATCTGTGGGTGAGGACTCGGCTGATGCAAAACCAGGTGGGCGCCAGAGCAAATGTGTCTCGGAAACTGGGTTTTCGACAAGTCAGCAATAAAGAACCACGCGCGTGTCCGCTTGTTCCAGCTCGCATCGCATGAACACCGAATTCAAAGAGGCCAAGATCATGCGCAGCGGTTCCCTTCAGGGTCTCGATCGTTTCGAGGCAGCTGTAGCCCGTGAGGTACCCCAGACTCCAAACTCTCATTCCCGTGCTTGGGCTATGTTTAGAAGAAGGAAGAACTTGCGTCTCTCGTGGAGGTGTTCGTAATCAGGATACTTACATGTCTCTTTGCATGTGCGTGATGGAAGTCTTAAAGCTTCACCGTCTCGCACTTCCTCAGAGCTGGGAAACACAAACGACCATCGTCTGCAGCAGTGACTTCTAGTTAGAGATCAGCCCTTCAGAATCATGAAAAGGGTCCCAAGCAGATTACCCTCGATTGAAACGACTCAGCGAACGTGAGAGAAAGGCATCTGTCGTGATTTGCGCGACACTCCGATCCAGCCCTGAAGCCTTAAACCCTCAGCCCTGAAACTGTTGAACCCTGAACCTGAAACCTTAAACTTGCTCCCCCTTTTCGTGACCCCTGCAAAGCCCAAACCCCTCGACTGAGCTGCAAGTTTCGGCTCAGCCATGATGCGTGTAGGGTTTAGGGTTTAGGCTTTAGGCTTTAGGGTGTAAGGTTTAGGGTTTAGGGTGTAGGATTTGGGGTGTAGGGTTTAGGGTTTTGTGGCACTACAAGCTAGCCGCAAAACCCAAGATCTAGACTCAGCCAAGACAAGACTCGAAGCTTCAACAGATTTTATCAACATGGGGGTTAGGGTTTAGAGTTGAGGCCCAGTCCCCCACTCCCAGCCGTGAGACCCAAACCTGACATACAACGCAAACTCATAAACCCTGAACCTGGAACATCCTCGAATCTAGATGTTTCACCCCGGAGCAGTAGCTGCCCCGAGAACCTAGTACCTCTTGGCTATGTGCGTGGCCACAGTGTTTCTGACAATCTACAGCCATCGCATCGAAACGCACACCCGGAACTGAATTCCCAAACCTTAAACCCTCAGCCCTAAACCCTAACCCCGCCCCTCTCCAGCTTCAGGCCCAGGTAGTTTGGTTATCGGGTTTTCGGTTCATGGCACCCACGGACACGCCACCTCTAGCCCTGGAGACAGAGCTCGAGTGGGGGCCCAAGAGTTAGGGTTTGGGGGTTTAGGGTT